AACTGCTGGATGTGGATTGTGGTATGGTACTAGTGCTTTTATGTTTTAGGAAGGTCTTCATACGGTTGCCAATGTCATCGTTCTTCAAAAGATGAAAAGTTGGTTACTCTTGGTTTTTCCGGCACAGTGCTGGGACGATCAGATAAAATAAAACGAGATCTCCTAATTGTCAGTAACGCGGGATCTTCCTCAGGGCTACTTCTTGGGCCTCCTTTTTTTCTCTGACTCTACCTTCATAATTAATATCTGAAAAGTTGCTGAGATCACTACGAAATCTATCACAATCATGCATTCAGTGATGAATCAGGTACATAGAATGAATCACTGATTTAACAAAAAAGCTCTGGAAGATAAAAATATATATACAGCTTTACTCCTAGACGAAAGCACGTTGTTGACAAGGCTGGAACAAAGGTTTAGCGCATAAGCTAATAATATTTCCGTAACAATATGTTAAACTTTTGACCTCTTACCGTTTGGAAAGATACATTCCCATTAGTCACAATGACCACAAGGTAGCATTCTAGGAAACGGTACTTGCGTATACAAGTCACCTACCACATATGAAAAACATAATCATCGCAACATATCCAGATGACACAACTACCCTTTCAATGAAAATGTATCGATACATCCCAGAGCCGACTGTAAATGGCAAAAACAGTATCCATGTCCGTAGAAACATTTGGAAAATCAAAATGAACCATCACAATTCCGTACATGTTGACTTCACAAATAGCAAATTATTAAACAAACTTATCCTAACAACGGTATCAGTACCGAGCCAGAATCGAGTTAAATTTTCAGGCAAGACGCTAGATAAAAAATTAAACTGTAAAGAACCTATCAAAAAGGAGACGAAAGAAGACGTCTAGTACAACTTTATTGGTTCCTGAGAAGCAGCCAACTATTTACAAGTCAGCACATTGTAAGACGACTGAGGAGAAATGATTTCTTTAAAAGTTACAAGGATGACTCAGCTAGATAAACTTTGACACTAACGAAAGGACAGGTGTATTTATTAATATTTATTCATTATTATTAACCAGTCTAAAATTTTTATGTAGTCGCACTTGTCAACTTAAGTTTTAAATTAATAAATAAAATATATTGATAAAAGTGTATAACCTACCTCAAAAATTAAGTTCATGTAATGACCTCCATATATATATAGGGAACATTTATCAGTTCTAATAAATAGATATATACATTCAAAACTGACCTATAGGAGACCTTAGATTTAGAAATAGAAACGTATGCTAAATTACGTTCTCTCCCTTAAAAACAAAAGCATAATTTTACTTATATAACGTACATAATTAATTACATATTTACAGTGTTTTAGATAACGTTATCAAGAAAATTAGATTTAAGTACTAATAACTACAAAAAATATTTCTTATATTCTAAAAAAAAGAATTTATTTCTAATACTAATATATAAAATGAACACATAAAAGTAACTCTTATGGAATAGAAACTATAAAAAAAATTAAGTAAAACGAAAATAAAACAAATTTTAAGCTTTTTTGTATAAGTGAACAGAGTAAAAGTATAAAGAAGTGGTCTATTGACCAAATTACTTATTTCAATTAATTAATCTTTTTATGTAAGGTTTTGGTTGAAATGAAAAGGTTAGTGCCACGAGTTGAATTTGAACCCACGACCGATGATTACACGACATTTGAAAAATGGAAAAAAGGAGGGAAAATTCGAAAGGTTGTAGGGTGAGATTAGTTGGTGTGCGAGTGGATCGAAGTCAAGATAGCTCAAATGGTAGAGCAGCGGGGTATTTAGCCTAGGGTCGTGGGTTCGAATCCCGTCGGTGCACTGACGTTTTCACAACCAAATCCTTATATAAAAAAATAATTAATTTAATTTAATTTAAGTAGTAACTTTTATGGAATAGAAACTTTTAAAAAAATAAAAGAACTCAAGAAAAAGGAAAAGAAAACAAATTTTAAGAATTTTTTATAGTAGTGAACAGAGTAAAAATGTAAAGATTTTAAGGTTTAGTTTGTTACAACTACCTCGTCGAAAAATTACAATATCCTTATAATAGTCAATGTGCCTTGCGTAAAGATGCAAAGATTTCCTCTTTTTAACCACTCTTCACCGGTGCTTAGAGCGATTAGGATCAGGGGAGACGGATTGACAAGCATTTTCTATCCTTTGCCGCAGTTCTTCAACTGAGGTTGCTGGGTTATGATTGGCGTAGACATTGTTTTTTATATGGGCCACAGAAATTAGTCCAGTGGAGTTAAATCGGGTGACCGAGGAGGCCAGGAGATCCTATCCACCTATCCCGGAAGCGACGATTCAAATAACGTCTCACCTGCAAAGAATTGTGTGCCAGACATCCATCAAGCTGGAGAATCATTCTTTTCGTTATTACAGAAGAAGATCAACTAAATAATGTCAAAAAATTGACGAACTGAGAACCATTTAAATTATTTTCGTACACATAAAACCCAATTAATTTATTTCCGTGAAGTCCACACCAAACGTTGACACTGCAAACCACCTGATGATGACAAGAGTACAAAATTCTCGGATTTTCTTCCGCCCAAGTTCGATATTCCAACAGTTTAATATGCCGTTGGAGGTGAACTTAGTTCATCAATCCATAGGATGTATGAAGAACGTTTTCTTCAGCCTCTCAAATCAAAATTTATGCAAGGAAAATGTGTCTGTCATAATCAGAGTCCCAAAGTCCGTGGGCAAGATGAGAGCGATACGGCTTAAAATTATAAACCCGGAGTACGTCTCTAATTTTTTTTTAACCTAAAACCCTTCTAACATTTCGTAGAGAGGAATTCGGAACGGGAACATACAATAAATTATTCAGCTCCTCGTCGAAATTACGCTGCCGGTTTCTTGGTAATGGAACAGCATCTGATCCGTATCTCCTCATATGCGAGCAACACGAATAAACTTTTTGTGGTTTACTCTGGGGCGATCGGGAAATTTCTGGGTGCACAACTGGACTTCACGACGCTCAACATCACCACTGTGTGTATAAAGCAGTCGTACATATCAACTAGCTGTTGATCGGAAAAATGTGCTCTTCGGTTCATTTTGGATGGAAACTGAATGTAACGAAATGGTCCTATTATAAAATTTATTTACTTCCAGGATTTAAGATTTGCTCTCACAATGCGAGTTTAACAAACAATGATAGAATGTAAAGAATAAAGACAATAAATACTTTACTTTAGAGAAGAAGCGAAATTTAGGAATTAACAACCCAATGAACGAAATGCGTTTTTTTGCAGTTTTGCCATAACTTTGTCATTTTTGACCAATCTAAAATCCAATTACACCATTTTTTTCAGCGTAAAAAATCCTTTAAAATGATGTGTCAGAATGTATAGGGTCGTATTTGAAATTTTGAAGTTGAACTGGACCTGAGATATCCTATATAATTTTTCGACAAAAAAAGGTAAAAATCAGAAATCAGAGTAAAAAACGTTAAATACTAATTCAGCCGGACCATTTGAAAATCCTGTATATGCAATGCTTAAAATCTGACGTCGAAAAATTCTTTAGATTGAGTATTATAAGGATATTGAAATTTTTCAATGAGCTAGTTAACTAAACAGCTAGCACACTAGCACAGTAGCTAACAAACTAAACCTTAAAATCTCCAATCTTCTTAAATTTTTACTCTGTTCATTAATATAAAAAAATTCTTAAAATTTCTTTTTCCTTTTTCTTAAGCACGTTTTTTAGCTTCTATTCCATAAGAGTTGCTTTTATATGTTTATTTTATGTATTTTTATACATATACATTTTATAAATTGGTAGGAGAAATCATTTTTTTTGTTAGAATATAAGAAATATTTATCCTTGTTTTAAAAAGATCCTACTCACAGTAAGTTGTTTTCCAACGATCCGGATTTCGAGACCTTAGCTCATCATCAGTTAGAAGGATTTATACAACCACACTCTCGACATGAATTGCAAAAGTGAACCAACGTTCCAATGAAAAGCTGGTTTTTTAATGCCCCAACTGTGCAAAAAGCGGGGGTTTACCAACTTAATTGTAATGATTGTGATATTAAATATATAGGACAAAGCGGTAGAGAAATAAAAACAAGAGTAAAAGAACACTTGCCTAAATNACCTCGATCCACTCGGACATCAACTTCCTATCTCAACCCCCACCTTATGAGTTTTCCCTCCTAAGTGGTAGAGCAGCGGCGTATCTAGCCGAAGATCGTGGGTTCGAATCCCGCTCGTGCCATTAACTTTTTTTCAACTCAACTAAAAACCTTAATTAATTGTAATGTATTAATTGGTCAAGCGGACCACGAAATTAGTGAATTTAATTTGAGAAGAATATTAAGGTATTATTCTAATTTTTCATCTTTTATCTTTAATCACTAATTTATAATTAATTTCTTACAGTATTTACCATTAAAATATTTATTTGTGTTATAATTACCGCTTTTCGCACGGTCAAATTGAGCGCCATTAAAAAACCAGCTTCTCATTGGAACGTCGCGTTGGCGGGGGTGTCGGCGGTTTCACTTTTTCAAGTCGAGAGACGTGGTTATAGAAATCCTTCAATCTGATGATGAGCTAAGGGCTCGAAATCCGGACGTTGGAAAACAACTTACTGTGAGTAGGAACCATCTTTTTACAAAAAGGGTTGAACACCGCACTCACTCCATCATTCATCATTTCTAGAAATATTTGTTGTAGTTATCAGTACTTAGATCTAATTTTCTTGATAATGCCTGTCTAAAACATTGAAAATATGTAATTAATTATGTATGTTATGTAATTAAAATTATGCTTTTGTTTTTAAGGGAGAGAATGTAATTTAGCATACGTTTCTATTTCCATATCTAAGATTCCTATAGGTCAGTTTTGAATGTATATATCTATTTATTAGAACTGATAAATGCTTACTAATAGGACATTAGGTTAAATAGTTATAAAATTAGCGACGAGTGTTGCAATTAGACCAATTAGACAAATTGGATTTTTTTCTAGATACATGGCAATTGTTCGACCCCTGAAGCACAGGATCTCAAGAAGGAAAGCTGGTTTTGCCCTCGCAGTCATTTGGCTCGCCAGTTGCCTTCTCGCACTCCCTTGTCTTCTTTACTCAACAACGATGCAGATGTGAGATTTTATTTTAATACGTTATACTTTTTACGGATTGTTTTAACTATTTGTTTTATTTAGATTGTTAAAAAGCCCTTACAAATAAAAAAAATTGCAAGAAATTTAAAAAAATTACAATCACGACACTTTTGTTCATATATTTATATTATTTTTTTACGCAGTAATAGATGAACAAAAGAAGCTAAAAATTTTCCATCATAAATAACAATTTTCTTATTAATTCGATCTTTTTATTTTTCGAGTTTCTCAGAACAAAACATTTTGTAAACAAAATACCTATGAAAAATATTTTTCTGCTTACCAATATATTTTTGAATGGAGTATGAAAATATGAGACTGCCTAAAGGAAAGCTATTACACAGAAAAAGTTTTATTTATGTATAATACCGATTTTTTTCACAGGCTTACTTTAATGAGCTTACGCATATGTATATTTGTTCAATATATACGCACATATTTTTAATTATAAACTTTTACATAATTATATCTTAATTCTGATAACTTAATTATATATATTCATATTAGATTTATTAATACGAATAAGATATTATAATACACTATTTGACAACTTTTGGCGATATTTTTTCTTTTCTTACATTGCTTTAAATACAATTAAATTAACAAAAAATTATAAATTATATTTACAATTGTATATTATACAATACTATTTAGTAGAGATCGGTTAGTAACATTAAAAACAATTGCTAATGTACAATATTTGAAAATAGAATTTATATTTATTTAAATTACAGAAATCATGATGTAAATATTCAGTACTGTTTAATGATAGCACAAGCTTTTTTTTCTTTTCTTTTGTACAATAAACTCTGTTAATTATTACTATTTTTAAACAAGTCCCAAATATTAGTAATGATGTCGACTATTATGCTGTCTTTTTTTCAGTCGTGTCACCGTTGAGCTTTATTTTGGAAACTGCGGCCTTGTACACGTGTTCTTCGACCAGTCCTCCTATGTACGAGATAAAAAGCCAGTCGGGAAACGGAAGTCTGCATATCCACACGTGATCTTCAGAATTGACCGACGGCCCAAAAAGCCGGCTGTAAAGCCCGCAGGCGTACAAGTATCTTTGGCCGATTCTCATAAGAAAGTTCGTTACCAAAACGAAACCGATGAAAATATCAAGGAACCACGAAGAAAGTATGAAAATCTCGAAGTAGGCGTTGAGTGGCAGGAGGCAGAAAAAATCTCTAGTCTCTTGTGTACCGCTCGGTCCGTACCTTACGAAAGTACACCGGCTCAATTTAGGAAGGACTCTGTTGCGATTCATTTCAAATCCAAAGTCAAAATAGTGCCCGTTGATAAATTTATGTATCGAATAGATTTTTATAATCCAAAACGTGAAATTCAAAATTTCAAGAACATACAAATTGAAGAGCCATTTTCTATTCTTTTTACCTATTATTCTTCTATTCATAAGGTCAGCGAATGCGTTCATCTTGCTTAAATCAGTATCCGTGTCGTCTTCAAAATTGTCTTCATTTCCCGTATCTATTACTCTATTTCTTGAAGAATTAAAAGTTCCTGAGCTTTTGTTCTCGTCCTCTAATTCAGGAATTTCGGAATATATATTTTCTACCGAACTGTGGCCGTCGAGTAGATCGTTAAAAGACTCCCTTACTGGGCAGATCCTCTGATAGAAAATATTGGTTTTCTGTGACTCCTGAGATTCTGAAAACAATCTGTCAAGATACCAACAAGATATATCACTGACGTTTTCTCGATGATGGGAGTCCCGAGACGATCGCCTGGCATTTTCAACGTTATCGGAGTTAAGAGCTTTCAATGTAGGAGAGGAAACTAGAGAATCGGCTTCAGGAGATAGATTCTTCCAGTCGGAGACCTCGGAAAAAGGACCGTTTTCCTCATCAATGGTGCAGCCCGAAGAAAAGGTCGAACTCTCTTTTTTATTTTCAACTAGGGAATCGGTACTTCCCCCCAGAAACCAAGATTTCACCTGTTCGAAAAGTCGTTCAAAGGAACTAGCGTTGCTTTCACACCTTTCCACTACACCTGTTTTGTTTTGAGATTCGTCACTAAATTTGGACCTTTCCGAATTTAAGCGGAAAAGTTGAATATCCTGTTCGCCGTTAAGATGAGGAGTCAATTTACATGATAACGGCTCGTAATTTGATGTAAAAAAACTGTCCGGAACATCCGAGCCGTCTTGGACTTGAGATTTGTTATTCTCAATTTCCCAATCCGTTTCGGGAGAACTTCGTGCATAATTTACATCCAGATCGAGGTCGACAGAAATTTGGGAATCGCTCATGAAAGTTGTAGGAGCTTCTTTTTCTTCAGTGCTAACATATTCTTCTTTTATTTGGTAACCGCCGTGAATGGATTTTTCCGAATTGTCTTGTAAAATTTCAGCGTATACAACCCCTTCGTCCAATCTAGGTGGAACAACCTGAGAGTCCTGTACATTAAAATTACTTTGAGTTTTAGCAGTCAGACTCGTGTTTTCAGTATTTGCATTGTAGATTATGACTTTCGACGAGTCGGCTTCGTTCGTAGTATTTTCTTGTTCAAAATTGATCTCCGCTGTCATGGCGTTCCTACACCTTTTGCCGATTGTGTACGCATTGTCTACATTTTCGAGCATTTGTGCACAAAATTCAAGCTCTCTTTTGTCCAAAATTTGCCACAGATAGAAAGGGCAAAGCAACAAGACGCACAGGTAATACATGAAAATGGGAATCCAAGGATAATAATAAAGGTGCTCCCGTTCCTCCCTGGCCCCGGTTAACGAGAAGGTCCCTGAAAAATGACAATAAGCGGCCACCGCTTCGTTGACTTCGTCTTTTCCGCTTCCAACACATTTCGTTTCACGGGAAAAAAAATCAAGAACGGTTACCAGAAATGATAATAAATAAAAATATTTTACCGGCTTCCATAAAATCCAAGTAGCTAAGTTCCAAGTATAGCGCCTTTTGTTGCCGTCGACACTACTGGATATTAAAGTCTTTTTACTTTTTAGATCCTTCCACCTTCTTCTCATAATACCGACTGGCGCCGAAGTTATAAGACTATCTTGAACGATCAATCAACAATTCACAAAGTAAACAAATAAAAGGCTCTGGATTTAAATTGACTCATAGTTGTTTATCGCATAAACAAAATCTTACGATAAGAAAAAAAACGAATGAAATATTTATAATTTTAATACCGAAATTGTATCGTATAGTTTTCTTGTAATCTCAATATTTCAAGTTTTAAAAAATTTTCTTTCAGACTTTTAAAAAGATATCTACGATTAGATATTCAAAATTCATCTCGGTCATAAATAGTCAATCAATAAGTATGGGGGGCGTCGGTGGCCGCAACGGTTTAGGCGTTGACACGGCGCTCATCACTGTAAGGTAAAGGTCCCGGGTTCGAATCCAGCGGCCCAGCATTCGAACCCGACATACTTACAAATGTTTTGTTTTTTTTCAAAAACACCGGCACCCTGATGCTGTTGCGAACCCTCGTTGCAATACTGATTGCAAATTATCCCAGACTTGAAACAGAAACACTTCCTTGTTTTTTAATCAAGTAACAATTACATTTTTAATCTGTCTCGCTTTGTTTCAGGTACCAAAACGGACAGATAAAAACCGTTTGTTATTTAAGATGGCCCGACGGACACTACCCAAAATCGATGTCGGAACATGTGTAAGCATTATTTAACTTATTTAGCCTAATATTGATGCATTGATTTAGATATTGTGGATTTGGTTTACAAAATCGTACTTGAAAATGATCTGGAGATATAACGAAGTAGATCAACATGAAACTCCCAAAACCTTACAAGATAAAATAATCCTAAATAACATAATAAAATAATCCCTTAATATCCGGCTTTAGGTATGTCTAATACGGAGACTGTAAGGTCAAAAAAATTAACTATTTGTTTACCATTTATAAACAAAATATTAATTAAATTCACTAATTTCGTGGTCCGCTTGACCAACCAATATATTACAATTAATTAAGGTTTTTAGTTGAGACAAAAAAGTCAATGGCACGAGCGGGATTCGAACCGAGATTTGAAAAATGGCAAAAAGGAGGAAACATTCAAAAGGTTGAGATGGGAAGTTGGTGTCCCAGTGGATCGAGGTCACGATAGCTCAAGTGGTAGAGGAGCGGCGTATCAAGCCGAAGATCATGGGTTCGAATCCCGCTCGTCCCATTGATTTTTTTGTCTCAACTAAAAACCTTAATTAATTGTAATAAAATATTAATTTAAGTATTATGCAATTGGCTTATCTTCGTTTGCAATGAAAGTTGTTTATAGAAAATGGTTTACTCTAGAGTTACTAATAATAATAAAAAACTTTATTATTTACTCTTTAAACTTATTTTTTTCTTTTTATTTTCCAACATGAACTTAATATTAATTTTGTATTTTAAATAAAAACCAGGAGAACGTGATCAACTGTTTTACAAAATGTGATATATTAGTCAACAAGTAAACAATTTTACTTCTACTATAAAAATTGTTTAACACAAAATATAATCTTTATAATATGTTTCTATTAAATCACTATTTTTAAATTGTCTATGAATCAAATGTTTAATATAATTATAAGCCCTATTAAAATTTAATAATTGAAAAATGGCAAAAAGGAGGGAAAATTCGAACGGTTGTAGGTTGAGATGGGGAGTTGGTGTCCGAATGGATCGAAGACACGATAGCTCAAGTGGTAGAGCAGCTGCGTATTTAGCCGAAAGTCCTGGGTTCGAATCCCGCTTGTGACACTGAGTTTTTTTATCTCAACCAATACCTTAAATACAGATTAATTAATTGAATTATATTAAACATTCGCTTCATAGACAATTTAAAAATAGTGATTTAATAGAAACATATATATTTTGTCTATTTCGTATTTTTTTAAACAATTTTTGTAGTACAAGTAAAATTGTTGATATGTACGAATTTTAAAATAAAATAAAACAAGAGATAGGGTCTACAACACGGTGGCATTGCTAAGATATATTTGGCATTTCGAAATTAAATCTGTTTTTCAAAACACAATTTATTGTATATTTGTTCTATTGGCAATTGTTCAAAAAAATAAGTATTTTTGATATTATAAGAGATTTTTATTAATTAGCCTTTCTGCGACTGGCTCTTGTCAAAATTAGAGGATCTGAATAAGTCAAACTTGGTTGAGGACTTGTACGGCCCACCGGTCGTCTCCAAAATGTAGCCCATTTATTTTTATTATGTGATGAATAAATAAAGGTTTGTTGATTTTTTTTTTTTTTACGCGATGTATACCAGAAAACTTTCAACTCTCTCAACTTTAGTTTAGCTGGGGAAAGGGTTTCTCACGGGTTATTCAACTTTTTTCTGGTATTCCTGGGACTTAGATTTGAGTGAAGTAGCTATGAAACCTTTTGCACTGCTAGTTATATTAGTTATGGTCGAATTTTTTAAATCAAATTTATAGTAAATTGACGAGATTTTTTTAATGAAATATTTTTCCTGTTTCTGTCCGGTGTTGTCCCACTAGGTATACCTTTTTAGCATGATCCAAACCGCAAGGGCTTATTTTTTATAGTTCTAATGATTTTCTTCCTGATTTTAAGCTTTTTTATGGGCTTTTTAGGTCTTAGTTCTTAGTGTGAAGTGGCTATGAATTGGATCTATTTATCCTGAGTTATGTTCGGTTTATCCCTAAGTTACTACTAGATATGTAGTAAGTTAGGGAGATTTAACAAAGTCCCTGTCTCTCTCCTGGGGTCTTTAGGAGTAATCCGAATATAGCTCAGTCATCGTACTTCTTTTTTTAGAAAATAACACAATCTGATCGATATGATCAATGATCTTGTTTAAAAATTCGAAGGACGTGTCAGTAATATGTCGGTTAAAAGCAACAGGAGAAGAAAAACAATCTCGATTGATATGAATAGCGTTTTCTCTCGATACAAATTATTAGTTTGGATATATTGCCACCATAAACCTTCAGTATCGAGCAACCACCTGTACGTCTACATCCATGTAATGGGAAACAATAAGTTATATTTATTTGAGTATGTGAAGTAGAAGGGGAAAATGGCGACAATTTTTCAAGTTTATGAACAATAGCTTGGGTTTATTTTACGACAAAGGACAGGACTCTAAGCCCTTTGGTAGTTGTGTTAAAGTTATCGGGCTAAATTCATAAACTTGAGGGAAAACTATTTGAAAAGTTCTCCAGAGTTACTCAGTTAATTGCGAATGATATTTTATTGAAATACAATTTGTAAAAGATATTTATACTGCGAAAAAATTCCATCCGTAAAATTTTACCATTGATTCTTTAAAAAACTTAAATCCCAATTCCATTACCTAAATTAAAAATTCCTATTCTATGATTTCTTCTACATCGGGCTTATTACTCAGATACAACCTGGTTTTTCTGGCGGTGACATATCTTGGACCAGTTATCGCGATGGCTATCTGCTACACCTTGATGGGACGAGAGCTTTGGGGATCCAAATCTATCGGGGAGCAAACTCAGCGGCAACTCGATAATATCAGATCGAAGAGAAAGGTAATTCTTATAATCGAACTTTTTTCTTTTAACTTCCTTTGAACCGCATTCATTAAAATTCTATGCTGGCGGCATTTAGTCTAAGACACTTAAATTAAATGCCGGCAATAACGAAGCAAGCACAAGTCTTTTCCAATCTTATCGTTTAATTGCTTTGTTTCCAAATTTTAATAGGGAAATCAACAACTTTAAAAAGGGTGTACTAATCAATAACACTATAAAATAAAAAAACGTGTTTTTAATTTATTTAATTTATTGAAATTTTTTTATTGTTGTGCCTCCAAAGCTTTTACTGTATTTTTGTCGATACTCCTGACGAAATGGTTCCTCTTTTATATATTTTTGTGATTTCAGGTTGTGCGAATGTTCATAACCGTTATATCCATTTTCACGATATGCTGGCTGCCTTATCATGGATACTTCATTTATGTCTACCACAACAAATCAATTGCTATGAGCAGTTACGTTCATCACATATATTTATTTTTTTATTGGCTCGCCATGTCCAACTCGATGGTGAATCCTATCATTTACTACTGGATGAACCACAGGTAAGAACACAGTGTAATTCAATCATTAGAGTTTCTAATTGCGTTATTCTTCAAGGTTTAGAGTGTACTTCCGGCAGATAATTTGTTGCTGCTGCTGCATGAGGCACAGTGAGAATACAGAATTGCAATCGATCACGAACAAACGCCAGCCGAGATCTGAGCTGATTTTGCGGTCCAAATCCTGTAAGCTACAGGGGTAACTAAATTATACATAACGCCAGTACCTATGCCGACCTTGCTTTTTTTCCACAAATATCTAGCACTTTCCAAACATAATTAGAACCCCACTCGAATTATTACACTTTTAGGTTAATATATATTTTTTTAAACTTTGGTTTTCCAAGAATCAAGATTTATTTTCATTAAAGAACCTCACCCTATGAGCCAAAGACATGTGCCACAGAGACATTTTTACGATTTATCGCGATACTTGAAGAACTGGCAGTTGGTCTTACAGCATCACAAAGCAGTATTTCAACTAGAAACATCAAGGAAATTATTATATTTTTCAAATAAAAATTATTCCTTTTAAAAATATAGTTCCTACTTACAGTAAGTTGTTTTCAACGATCCGGATTTCGAGCTTATAGCTCATCATCAGCTTGAAGGAGTTCTACAACCACGTCTCTCGGCATTAATTCATCATTTTCACCATTCACCTTATCATCATTTTTTATCAAGCCGAACAAGCAAAAGCAAACCTTGTAAGCCAGAGGATGACATGACATCATAAAGCAAAATGAGGAAATATGAAACGGATAAGATACATATAGTTAATATAAGTTTTATTATATATAATGACATTTGAAAGTCATTATATCTTACTATTTCTTCCGAGGTCTGCGATTAAAATGGCTCGCCTTCCGATATAAATCCCAACTTCCGCTCAAGTCATATACTTAGGACTAAGCCTAGAGAGCATACGGACATACAAGACTTAAGGGACAACCGACCACTTTGGGCAAACGGAGACTAATCCACCATAAGCCATCCAAGATCCAGCGCATTCGATCCTTCCAATCAAAAAGCCTTAGTCCAATTGTCAATGGTCCTTACTAAGTACCTGACAACAACTACCTCAACGTTCCTTTTGTCAACGAACTGAACCGATCCTGCTTCCCCAAGTTCCACACCGTCCTAGTCCTACCAAACTTTATCCATCTTGAAACCAGCTATGTCGCCTTACACGTCGATGACCTCGAGATATCCTCGCTCCTTATTTCACATATCGATTGCCAGCTAATTACTCTTAGCATCTGTCCCACGTGTGATGAGCAGACCATAGTGTCAGTGTTGTGACGGGAAAAAAACATTATTTTCCTTCGTCCTTGGCAAACCCAATATGAATATTGTTAAGCGAGAGATGATCACGCCTGATCATTTCTAACTGGAGTTTTTAACTTCTCTCTGGCAGTTTTAGGCATTTCACATTCTACTACTTCTTTAGATATATCTCTACAGCAGAAAGAATAATATGGCAATTCGAAACCTGGGACTTCCACCTAGGTTATAGTTTGTACCTACTTGGAAGTGACTGGCACTGTCTTCCTCGAAAACTCTAAGAAAAAACAGCCGAATTCATGGTGCTTTAACTTGATCAAACCCCATTCCTGTTGATCTTAGTTAATTATATTGCAATGTACAACTGGAGCTTAGTATGACGCGTTTGCGGTTGAATCTGTTTAACTTACGTTCGTTAAATGGATTCCTAATTGAACATACACCAGATAGATTATGCCATTAACTATTAAAATGACCTAGGCCAGACTCGCTTTTTCCAAAACAGTAGATAACGAGATGGTTATTTTGAAAGTGGTTTCGACGGACAAGTGCCCTAAGCAAGGCCGCTTCCTTTACTCTCTCATAGGTGAAGAAGTAAGTTCAGGATCCATGAAGAGAAAAAGACTTCTTTTGTCCAAACCAGTAAGAAATTGAACTCAGATACCAAGTATGCGAACACGATTTAAAAAATCAGCCAAATTGTAGTGATTTTAAAAAACAGTTTGTCAAAATGCAGGTCTTCAACCCTGGGATAAACTAACTACGCCGCAATGCACAACTCTGAGGTAACAATACGGTAGCGGTTAAATCTGGCCGACTTATATTTCTTAAAAGGATTCCAAACAAGGCCTTAACTATTGAAATTTTCCTAACCAACCTTCCTAGGTCAGACTCGCTCTCCCTAAAAAAAAATAGATGACGAGATGATGGGTTGGACTGAACGCCATGGACTGCTACCATGCCCTTGAACGCAACTTCCTTTGCCCCCTCATAGGTGCAGAAGTCCAGGTCTCATGAAGTGAAAAAAGTCTTGCTTTGTCCAAAACAATCAAGCAGGAAATTGAACTATGCCAAATAAGCGACCATTATAAACACACTGTCGTCCTAAAGACAAAAAAAAATGCCAAATTGGTGGTTATTTTGACGTATTCAAAAACCACATTCCTGTTTTTGCCAAAATGCAGGTTTTCAACTAAGGGATAAGCTAATTATGTTGCAATGAACAACACTGGAGCTTAGTACGATGCCGTTGCGGTGGAATCTATCCAACTTATATTCGTTAAAAGGAACATTCCCATTACACGTTACATTCCGAATTGAACATAACTCATATTGGCTTATATGTCCTTAGTTATCAAAATGCCAGACCTCCTAAAAAAACTAGAAAACGAGATGATTAGGATTAAAATGAATTCTTCCTTTCATTCCTCATAGGTGAAGAAGTCCAAGATCTTGTGAAGACAAAAAAAAGGCTTCCTTTGTCCGAAGCATTCAGGAAACTGAACTCACACACCTATGCCAGCATGATAAAGATTTATGTGTACATCCAGACAAAGCAATATTATTCAAGCTCCGGGCCAGTTAAACCTAAATGCAAAACTTTTCCCAATAGACCGTTTACAGCTAAGAGAGATCTCTGGCATTTCCTATGCAAATATCCTACCATCTGGGAATTCAGTACCATCGCATTCGACCGATGAACATTGACACGCGATGAGGCCGTCGTCTTATTAAATAAAACCATGCCTTATGATTGTTTATTAATCCTATACAAAACTATTGATAAATTGGATCTCGTTATCATGTAAAAATGAGCTTTTTCTATTCAATTTTCTTCATTAGTTGGTTTTCTACTTCTTTTAAGGTTGCACTGTAAAACAGCTTTGTTTACTGCACGAGTTGACTGAATTTATTTTGCCAAATTTTACTTTTTAGTTTTATCTGATGCTAAAGGAGATATAACTTTGTGGCTTAAATGTGAAAACGAGTTATTTTTCTGCAGGCCATGCACGGAGGTCGATCTCAGTTGTGGTGGAATCAGTGGAGATCTGTCGGGGGAATCGTCATCAACAGTCCATGTTGAAACGATCCGCGTCCGAGTTGATAAACAGTCAAGACAGAAAAATAAACAATTCGTCGACTCCAGGTATGATTAACTCGATGTTATAGCGTCTGGCCTACTTTGACGCTACAAAAATATTCCCCTACGATGAGAAAATGGCGCAGCCGGACGTTTTACCCTTTCGTGCAATATTCCAAAACTATTGTACTAGCAGTAGTAATAATTTAAGTTTTAAAAAAGACAATAAGGATTTATTTTTTAATGTATCGTATTAAAACAAAAACATAAGATTGGCGACAATTTTGTCGCTGTTATTTTAAAAAGCCAATTGTACAAATAAACATTGAAAAATCACTTCAAGATATATTTTATAATGTATCATATTAAAAAAAACTTAAGAATGGCGAAAATTTTGTCGCTGTTATTTTAAAAAGCCATTTGTATAAATAATTGAAAAATCACTTCTACCTTTGTAAATAAATAAATATGGTGTTCTGATATTTATAAATCCACTAAATTTAATCCAAATTTCATTTTAGTGAATTTTAAAAATATTTTTATAACTGATATTTATGTTTAATAAATATTATGTACATAGTATTTTTTAAAAGAATGTTTAAAGTTATAAGATGTCTTTTTATTACTCTTGAAATTTTAAATGTTTACATTATTGAAACTTTTAAATGTGTACATTTGCTCAACTAGAGAATACCATGGGTTTGTGATAAATTCACTCAGGTTATTTTTCATTAAACTACTAGCTGAAGAGGTGTACATTGCTTACATTTTATAGATTCAAGATTAAATGTTTATCCTTGTAAGAGGAAATTCTTCATTTGTATAATTACTTGGTTCAAGAGTAAGCAAATGAAAGTGCACCACTGCATACACTCAACCATGATTTGGAATGTTGAAAAATTATAAATTAAATACCTAAATAAATGATGCTTTAATTCCAGTGAATATTTAAATAAATATCAGTGGTTAATACAGATAATATATTGCATTACAAGCAAAAATGAAAACAAAGCAAATGCCCTACTTAAAAGACTAAAAAATAATTAATTTGTGCAAATTAGATTTATTTTGATATAATAATAATACATAAAATTAGTAGTATACCCAAAACCAGAAATAATATTTCTATTCTACGTCTTGTTTTTGAATGGTAATAGTCTGTGGTGAACTGGTGTTTGAGTAACATCAAAATCGAATCATAGAACAAATCTTACCATCTAAAATGGCCTGATTTAAAAATAAAAACTAGAAAGAATTAAAAAATTCCTAAAATAACAAAACAAAGAAAATTGCCAATCTTAGGTTTGCCATGGCATTCCAAATTTAATCAACGACATAATCAAAATACTTAAACTGTGACCTAATGAATTATTTTTAAAAACATCAAAACCCACAAACTTAGCAAAAACAATTTAATTGCTTTAATTAAGCAATTGAAACAATTAAATTAGATTAGAAGCTAACACTGACACAAACCCCCTTGTACGACCTAATAACCGAAAATGACGTGACCTCCTGACATACAAAATTAGCGAGGATAGGCAGACTAAGATGGTAGGTAACTATCAAATTATACAATCAAAATACTTAAAATATGACATAGTGAATAAATATTCTGTATTAAAAAAAAAATCAAACACAAAATTAACAAAAGCAATGAAAACAATTAAATTAGTAAAGTAAAAATTTCAATTTTAATTTCTACACTTTGTAGTTACATTATACTGATATTGTAAGAAAGAGGCAAAAAAATTAATGAAATTTAATGTGTATGTAAACATGAAATATAAATGTATGACAATTTACAAGACTTGGTATTGACTGTAAAATCATGGAATCATCCATTAGCTTCATATCACCTCACTGATGATGACATGATATGAAACTGATTCATAATTAAGAGATGTGATAAATTTTCTATTTTTTGGGTGTGTATGGAAAATTGTGATGATTTTAATGTGGCCATATTATAACATATGTAAATTGATTTATTCCTGTATTTAAAAAGGTAGTGTGCGAGGGTGTGGTTGGATAGGTGTTGTGTAACTGAAATAAAACACATTCCAAATTTTTCTTTTAATTTATTACCCTGGAAGTTATTAATAAATATATAAACACTGCGTTTACTCTCCATCCTGCGGGTAAAGAAAATGTGTAAATAAACCTTCACAGGTTAAAAAAATTAGTGTCACTTAAAGATTGGTAAGCACACAGAATTAAGCTTAATTGACATGAATTAGACTTTTTTTTCAATGTTTACAGCAGTTGGACTTAGCAACTCTTTTTTTTTCTTTATCTATACATAATTATATATATAAGACCATTTTTCTTCTACTTCATTTAAATGTATGCTTTCAATCATTTTATTTTATTGTTTTTGTAAATATAATATATTTTTATGCTTTAAAGCTCTTCTAAAAATAATTAATCATATTTTCCAGCATTGTTAAAATGATGGTTCTTAAAGCTTTCTTTTTTTATTTTTTGTATAAAATTAATACATTAACATTATTTAACATTGTGAGATTTCTTGTTATTTCCAGTCATCTTAGTACGCATATTGTTGCTGGTTTAAGGCCCATCATAGTTAACGAAATACTTAAATGCATACTACTGACTAACCAGTGCAGATAGGCTAAGATAATAGAAAACGACCGAACTATATTATGAAATAAACTGAAAAACAAACGTAAAATGTCTAAACTGTTCGTTGTGGTTGCACTGTTAGTTTGTCAATTGCAGTTTTAATTAGAACACAGACAGGCAAATATGCACATTAGATATTTGATGATTAAATAACTTGAATGTTATATTTTATTTTTACTATACAGGGTGACTTGCTACTCGTGCTACAAACTTCACCAGTAGATTCTTGACCCTAAAATGAACAAAAAATCGATTTTGAAAGATATCACGTCCTGGCGTCGGAAAATCGTGATATCTTTTTATCTAAACATTTCTCTTAAAATCTATAAGCACCGTTGAAATCCCCGTTAATTTTTAGAGAGAATCAAAATCATAATTCCATTGAAATTTTTTAATTTAATTTAATGCCCATTTAGTATGTAATGCTTAAGAAGTTTACAAACAGCTAGAAGGTCAAGGAAGAAAGACCCAAACGTTTTGCCACCTTCATCTTCTTATTGAAAAATTAACGGGGATTTCAACGGTGCTTATAGATTTTAAGAGAAATGTTTAGATTAAAAGATATCACGATTTTCCGACGCCAGGACGTGATATCTTTCAAAATCGATAAAAAGCGAAATTACTCTGAAATGGTTGAGAATCGGACCATGGACAATATGAACTTTTTTGTTCATTTTAGGGTGAAGAATCTACTGGAGAAGTTTGTAGCACGAGTAGCAATTCACCCTGTATATATGTGTGTTATTTATATATGTGCTATATTTTAGTCACAAATCAAATTTTAGAAGAATGGACTGATCATCTAGTTATATGTATGTATTAATGGTGATGAAAATTGGAATTTTCTAGTATAAATTGTTTGTCTTAAGGCCCAAACCAAATTTACATTAACTGAGGGTGGAATTATTCATTTAATCAAAGTGCAAAACTAGACGTGACAAACACAATGAAACTGTGAATGTTTTACATGGGCTTAACTCCCAATTAAAAGTTTATGAATGAAATAAATTTACATTTTTAAATTGTTATTCCTTTATTTGTATAATTGAAAATATAGTGTTTATTGTTATCTTCTAGCTTGTCTAATGAATATTGCTTAGTCAACAATTGCTCACAAATGTCTTCGAAACCCCTTATAGATGACTGAAGTGACATCGACTCCTGAGGGGTTAATTTTGAATCATCTTTTTTACTGCCAGCATTAAAGAAAAACACAGACGGATTGTGTGTTTTTGTGTCTTTTAAATGAGGTACAATTTCTTTATAATTTACAGTTTTTACATCGCTTCGTGGTTCTTCAGTAAGAACTTGTTTATACATATCAGCAGCAACCTCAGTTTCGGAAGCGAATGAATTAAGTTCCTCACTCATTGGCTTCGATTCACATTTGACTTCATGTTGAAATGTTGGTTTCATTGGAATCGGAGGAAGTTCCATAGATGGGTCAAATTCAGATTTTTGGCTAATTATCGATTGTTGTGCAGTTGGATTTTGAGAAGGAAACATTTCATTTGTCTCTTCATATGATAGTGGTGACTTTTTATTTAAATTGTCTTGCTTATGACAACGATTCGATTGTATATCTTTGTCAGTATTTTGTATGTTTCCAACATTATTTACATGACTGAAAAATTTACAGCCAAATTTTTTGCATGCTGAATTTTTAATTCTTCTGTGAGACACACAGTATTTATAAGAAATATTACTTTGCTTTGACTTTTCCTTATTTTTTATTACAATTGATTTACTTGGTGATAAAAATGGCTTAGCTAACAGATCCAGTTCTTCTGATGATTCTGATGGTGAATGATAACCTTGCTTCATTTTGTGACGATAGAAATGTTCATCCTCAAAGTAGCATATTTTACTTTGGCTATATGTGTATTCATTTAAAATTCTTTTCTTCCTTATTGCACGTAACAAATCAACTTTGACTAATTTTTCTCTTTGTGTTTTTATCCTGTTTTCCAAACTATGTCCATTTGATTTATTATAACATCGTTTTTCATTCATTTGTAGCCAAAGACTGCACTTCTCTTGGAAATCATTCTGTTTTGTATCTGAATTTGATTCACAGATTCTAGGAGAAAAATTACTATATTTACCATCATAATCGAAAGGGATATGAAATGTTTTTTGTTTATAGTTTTTATTTTTTTCTTGGTAAACATTGAATTGATCTGATGAAGGTATAGGAGGTAGCGGTGCATCCGAGTCAAAACCGTCCTTTTCAGGTGAATTGATTTGAAAGGCACTGTTGTTACTATTTACCTTATTATCCAAATGGTTATTTTGAATAATATTTGATTCTAAATCAATATTCTTAAAATCACTTTTTCTAAATTGTTTGATTACCCCGGAATCTTTTAGTTTAGAAGACAGAGAGGGGACATTGTTACAATGCACTACTTGAATCTCATTTGAATTAGACTGAGTTGAATCAGTTTTATCAGAGAGAATGTCACTATCCTCCTGTTCTGAAAAGCTCAGTACACTTTCACTTAAAAGACTACCGATTGATGTACTAAATTCCGTATCCGAAAAAGCGAGAATTGAACTCTTGGGGTAGACTGCAATATTGTGTTGTTCTTGTTTAAATAAATCTGTTAAGATGGGCTCTTCCT